GAGATCCCTTCGTGTCCAAGTTCACAACGCCCTCGCCTTTTTCCAGGCGCTTCATCTCCCGCGTCGGTTCCGCGCGATCCTGCTCCCCATCCCCATTCAAATAGAGGTGCACCGTGTAGTACGAGGTCTCGCGCCCGTCCGGCGTCCGGTAGTGTCCATCCCAGTGCGGTCGGAAATATTCCCCCCCTTCGTATTTCAGAAAGCGCAGTCGCTCGTTGAGACGGGTGAGTCGGTAGACGGCGTTGCGACCGGCCAGGCCTGTCACCCGGGGCTGGTTGTCGATCACCTCGATGCCCCCCAGCTCCTGTAAGAAGGGCCGCAGCCGGGCCAGCAGCTTGTCGGCCAATTCAGGCGAGTCATAGATGATCCGCCCGCACTTGCGGGTGTCCACTGCGAGCGCCTGTTTGCCGTTCCCCAGGTTGATCATGGCGCGCTCCCAGGTGGGTTCGGCCGTGGCGGCGGCGGTCCGGTCTCCGGGCTTCGTTGACGGGACGGTGCTGGCCTCGGCTAGACGAAGAAGCTCGTCACATTCCTCCTTGGTGAATGCATTGTCAATGACTGCAGCGCAAAGGTCCTTGTATTCAGGCAGCGGTGGGTCGGACTGGATAAAGTCGATGCGGTGGCATTGAGCGTCGGCCGGGGGTTGGGCGGGGAGGAATTCCGCCTTTGTTCGCCGAGCCATAACGAGGTCGGCACAGAATCTCTTTGGTGGTACTTTGGAGGACCTCGAGGTATAAATCTAGAATATATAGAGTCGATCGAAGGAAATTTTCAAAGTCTAGGGGTAAGGGATAGAGTCATCTTGAAGAATGACCCTCAAAGGAGGCTTAAAAAGTTAGCCCTGTTCGGGACCCCGACTCAGCCTCGTGAGCAGGCAGCGAAGGAAGTCATACAATACAGTGGGGGCTGAGCCTTGACCAGGCCAGAATCATGGCCTCCTGCAGAAGGAAGCACTGCAACTCTGAGTGTTCAAGCCCATAACACACACACAACGAGCAACAAAGACGATTAACACGTTCATTTGTCCTGCTCAGCTAATTTCAAGATCCATGATGTCTAGTGCCTTAACAACAATGCTTGGCACTCAAACCGGACTTTCTTCTTCCGCCCTACTACACGACTCATCTTTATCCCATGAACTCCAAATCTCATAGCACTGCCTTCTTATGGGGTTGCCAGTGCTGGAGATAAGACTGCACGTAAAACTTCAAAAACAATAGCATCAGGAACAGAACAAACCCGCATCCAAGGCACAACGCATAAGCCTCACTACTATCTCTAACGCATCTTACTGTCTTCATGTCCCGAGACTGCTGTACTTTGGAGTCCCGTGGCGTTATGTTGAAAGGGGTATTTGGCGATTGATCATGTCGCTCAAAAGGAGGACCAGAAAAGGGAACATCATATTCCACAAGGACGGACGACAAGCCTAATAGGCTACCGACGAAGAATTGCATGATTTGAAGCAAGGTCAATGAAGCTTTGGTCGAGTGGTGAACGAGGATGCGCAACGCAGTCATGCTGTAGTATGTATACTGTGCGTCTTCATATTAGCATATGTGGCAGGATAGCATAATTATCCGACGTAACATTACTGACCATCACGGTGTGCACAGCCGAGTTGAATAGTGTGGCGATTATCGAGGCCGAATTGATAAATCGTACTCCCATGCAGCCCCAGAAGATGACGCCAGCATGGTGATATATGTGCAGGGCCGAAGCCTGGCGCCCTTTAGCAAGAATGATCACGGTGTCGAGTGGCTCATATAGCTTTGACAGATAGAACAGCCAGACGATCAACTTCAACCTCGGCGCATATGATTCGTGCCCCGGGAACTGACCCCCATGGCAGACAATGTCTGCCGCCCGGCTCATATGCAATTCATCTTGCTTGTCCGGCCATGCGGAAGACAATGTTTTCAGCATAGCGGCGAATGTCCAGGCCGAGAAAGCCGTCAGAATCAGATTGTGTAGTATCACTAAGTTAGAGAAGACCTTTGTGCGACTGATTGCCCACGGTCTCCGTTCTCTGGCATTGATCTTATTGCAATAGATGACGACCGATATGTACAAGACGCTTATAGTTGTTGAGGTCCGCAGGTCCGTAGAGAATGTGTATAAGGATGGAGAAAGCTGATATCTTCCGAAGCGGAGTGCTGATTCGGGAAAAGGAAGGTAGTGGCTTGAGCCAAAAGCATCGGAATACTCGAATAAGGTGAAGGGTGGTCGTGTAAGTCGAAGGAATCGCGGTTTCAGCATGGCAGCAGACAGTCCAAGAGACTTTCAACAGTGAACGAAGAGCGAGCGTGCTGGTCTGGGTGACGATTGAGAGCCACTTGATGCGCAGACCGCATGCACCGAAGTCGGAGCTTGTTGATGATGGGATCGCTCATCCTGTATCGGAAGCAACCTTCTGTGTTTGGAAGACAGGACCCTTGCAGAGCTTATGAACTGATGTCGGGTCCTTAAGGCAAGGCCTCAATCGCATTCTGGGGGAGAATCAGGGATTGTTGTTGGGAGTTGAAGTCCGCCCGAACCGGAAACCGACCCCGGACTTTGAACTGAATGTCCATCTCATACCTTGGCAAGGCCTCAGCTGACTGCCCATTCTTTACTACAGTGCCTTGGGAACAGAGCCATAGTTTGAAACTTACAGCTCTCTACTATATTTATAAGTTCATTCCCTCAACTATGATCCCGCTACGGCGAAAGCTTGCATATGGCAAGCCAATACTCCCAAGACCCGGCATGGCGCATAAAAGATGGTCTTTCCAAGGTGATAGATGGTACGTCCTCTTGAAGACAGGGACTGTTAGAGCTCGGCTAGCACTTGAACATGAGATTAGATTGAAGATCTCCCCTGGCTTGTTCCGCACCTATCATTGGGTAGCTCGAGGGCAGTTTCAAGGACATAGACATTGAATTCTAAAGGGCTCCATCGGGATAGACATCGATTTCGTCCTACCGTACTTGAGCGATAAACTAGGTATGAACCAACGATCGACAACTATGGCTCACTATACTAGCAAATCGGAACAATCACTGTCCATAGGTGTCGCTGGCATACCACAGAGCCCCCTCATTTGCTGTGTCGAGGCGGTACAAACAAGAGCAAAGTCCGTGAAATAACTCCTCCAGCGGCTGTGCCACATCAGGTCAGAACAGGGTGGTGATTTTGAGCAGTAATCAATCCTCGGAGCTGATAGATTGTTTTTATTGCAGAGCTTCAGCCAATTTTGAGGACGATGAGTGACAGCTCTCAGAGCATGATCGAAAGCATTTCTTCCTGTTCCTCGATGACCATCAACTTTTGAATTTGTCCTCTGTCGCAATTATTGCAGTAGGAATTATGGAAGAAATCAACACATTCCCTGATGACGATCAGAAAGAACATGTCACTAGAGAGCCGATGACTAGACGAAACTGGTACCAACGTCTAGACTGGTGGGGAATCATTTTTACAATGGTCGTTCCTCTCTATGGCCTGTACCAAGTCTGGAGGATCCCTCTACACCCGAAGACATTCATTTTTGCGGTAGTATTCGGCCATTTTTCGGGATTCAGCATCACTGCCGGTAGGTAACACACATTCCACATCATTGCTTGATTCACCATTAATGAGACTGCGTGAAACATGCTAGGTTATCATCGACTCTGGGCCCATGCATCCTACCGTGCTACCACACCACTGAAAGTATTCCTCGCCATATTAGGGAGCAGTGCCGGTCAGGGCCCGATCGAATGGTGGGTGCGCAGTCACCGTACGCATCACCGATACACCGACACTGCCAAGGATCCATACTCTGCCCACAAGGGTCTTCTTTACTCCCACATGGGATGGATCCTGTTTAGGAGAGGCGCCAGGATCTACCACGGAATAGACATGTCTGATATTAACAATGACCTTGTGGTCCGGTGGCAACGTCGCTACTACGGCGGCATCTTGCTGGCCATGGTGTTCTTGTTCCCAACCGCGGTCTGTGGCCTCGGCTGGGGCGATTGGAAAGGCGGCTTTGTCAATGCCGGTATCGTCCGCATGTTTGCAGTTCAACAGGCTACTTTCTGCGTGAACTCCCTAGCCCACTGGATGGGGGATCAACCATTTAATGACAGGAACTCTCCCCGCGATCACCTGGTCACGGCTATCATCACGCTTGGAGAAGGATACCACAATTACCACCATGAATTTCCCACGGACTACCGCAATGGAGCGGACCGGTGGCAGTGGGATCCAACTAAGTGGGTGATCTGGTTATGGGAGCAGATGGGTCTTGCATACGACCTGAAACGTTTTTCTACACATGATGTGGACAAGTGCCGTCTGCGACAGGCGCAGACGGACCAAGCGTCGCCCTCGGACTGGGGCGTTCCAACGGAGGGCTTGCCAAGACTCTCATGGAAGGACTACATAGTGGTGCAAGCCAGAGACGGGAGGCGGACACTGATTGCTATCGATGGGGTGGTTCATGATGTTTCGAGCTTTATGCCTGACCACCCTGGAGGCAGTCAGTTACTCCAGGATGCCATCGGTAAAGATGCCACTGAATTGTTTACTGGAGGAGTACACCTGCATTCCAGGCTGGCTCATAATAAGCTTGCTACCTTGAGAGTAGCCATTGCTCGTGAGGTATCATGATTAACAAGCAGATGGCATAGTTGGAACAAACCAGGTGAGCCCAATAGTTTCAGGAGTCCTGAGAGCCTTTCATTACCTGGAGAATTTTGCTACCGCAACGTTCACCCAGCTGGCTCAAATATTGTTATCTTTCCTTATTGAATGCGTCTGAGCCTCTTGCCTCAAATGCATGTGTGGTGGTAATAGCTCGCCTATTCGGGCCGGTGTACGATCATGTACAAGAAATAAGATTGAGTTGCCCTCTACTCAGAGATCCATAGATGCTTTGGACAGAACCAGTGTTCGGTAGTGTAGCCAAGCTGGACCCACAGGGCGTGCCACCGATGACCCACAGGGCGTGCCGCTTCAATGTCACCCCCAGGGCGTGCAGACACGCCTTACTCGAGACATACTGATAACTAACTAATGGACAGTGAAGATGAATGTCAGTGGAGATACGACCAGCATGTATATATATGCATTGAAAGGGGACTGAGCAGCAGAAAGAGCCATTGTGCTGCGAGTCACCGCTTAAAACCTTTTCCATCACCATCACCATTACCATCACCGCCATGGGTTCCTCACAACCGCTCGACGCCTCTCGCCTGACCTACACCTTCACAGCCGCTCCACGCGAGGTCCCAGACGCCCAAACCCTGAGCAGCACCCGCAAGACAATATGCACCGACCACATGATCACTGCATCCTGGAACGCCGAGAGCGGCTGGTCCGCGCCGGAACTGAAGCCCTACGGCCCTCTGAGCCTTGAACCCAGCGCCTCGTGCCTGCACTACGCCTACGAATGCTTCGAGGGCCTCAAGGCCTACCGCGGCCACGACGGAAAACTGCGGATGTTCCGCACCGACCGCAACACCCGCCGCCTGCTGATGTCCGCCCAGCGCATCTCCCTCCCCGAATTCGACCCCGACGAGCTCGAGAAACTCATCTATACATTACTCTCCGTCGACGGGACCAAGTGGCTTCCCCGAGACCGCACGGGATCCTTTCTGTACGTGCGCCCGACCATCATCGGGACGGACTCACAGCTCGGCGTCGCGCGGCCGACGGAGGCCCTCCTCTACATCATTGTCGGCTACATGGCTCGCCTGGACGCTCCGGCCGGCGGGAAACGCCTGCTCACCAATCCGGACGACACGGTGCGCTCCTGGGTCGGCGGGTTCGGATATGCGAAAGTGGGCGCCAACTATGGGCCGGCCGTGCTGGCGACCCAGGAGGCCTTCCGGCAGGGATACCATCAGATCCTGTGGCTGTATGGGCCGGACGGGTCCTGCACGGAGGCCGGCGGGAGCAACTTCTTTGTGGTTTGGCAACGTCGGGAGGATGGGAAGAAGGAGCTTGTCACGGCCCCGTTGGATGATCGGCTGATCCTGGACGGGGTCACCCGCCGCAGTTGCCTGGAATTGGTGAGAGAGCGACTGAAGGGCGAGGTGGAGGTCTCGGAGCGGAAGTTCACCATCGGGGATCTTCTGGAGGCGGCGGCGGAGAACCGTCTCTTGGAGTCGTTTGCTGCTGGTACCGCGGTAAGTCTTTTGCTCTGTGTTTCATACCTATGGATGGGGCATTCTGATAATTCTGTTAGTGGTTCATTACTCCTATCTCGTTGATTCACCACCGTCAAGAAGACATCCATATCCCAACTGGGCCGGATGGAACACCGGGGGAAATTACGGGCATGCTCAAGGGATGGTTGGGGGATATGATGTATGGGCGGGTAGAGCATGAATGGGCAAGAGTAGTGGCTGAGAGGGGGGAGAATATCGAATAAGTAGAGGTCACTTGTGAAGTTCAAAGTTTAATAAATTAGGTAGTAGACAGATACAAATATGCTTAGAATCCTATAGCTGAGACCACTACATGATGATAGAATACCTTACTCATATCGACCCGAGTAAACCAAACTCAAGTCTCGTGAAGGTCCACTCAGCGATGAATCATCCGCTCTGTCCCCACCAAATGTTTTTTCTTTGCCGCCACTCGTCCCTCTAAACCCCTCTGAACCCCACGTCAAACGTCCATTAAGTGATGTTTAGTTTTTATGTCCTTCTAAGCCTGCGCCAGTAGTGAGATGGCTGCTTTCAGGCTCCCAATAGGTTCGGAATTCCTGGATTCCGCCAGCCGAGACTCAGTCTGCTACGATCTTCCCTGCGTTGATCCCGCAACTGGAGATGATACTCAGCTACCTCAAGATGATACTGCACTCGATTCCGCTGACCAGTTTGACAATTCATACACGTTAATGGGGCTTGACTCATCAGACTCCTGGTGGCAGTTCATTGAGACGGACGCCAATACCAGCGTTTTCCCACTTGATAGTGAGAGCCTACCAGCGCATGAGAACTCGTTCGATGCGACACTCACGAACGAGCATGACGGCCTCAATGCAGGAGACATTGACTACGCTGGCTTGGTGGACTACGCTTTCCTACAGCCCTCTGCAGATCAACCAGGTCAACAAGATCCATTGAGTTATGATAGTCCACAATCATCTATAAGGCCATCCCTACTTGGCGAAGTTGGAACCAGGGAAAACACCCCAAGTCCCTCTACCGCAGTACACTCAGCGGGGCGAGGGCTTCCTCGTCGAAGGAGCAGATATCGCATCCAGGAGATTGATCGACGGACAGCTGCAACCTTCATACCACCTGTTTCAGGCCCCGCCGATCCCCTAGAACGCTGGAAGAATTCTCCGCCTGAAGCCGAAGCAGCCAGCTTATCGGCCATCCAGAATGCTCTCGAGAATGCACCGACGGATTCAGGTATAAGCCGAGGGCCCGCGCTGGGCCCGCACCTGGATGACTTGTTTCAAACGCCTCGCCATGCAGCTTCCCGAGCAGCTTCAACGGTAAGTGGCGAAAGTGCCACCAGTGCGTCCTCCTATCGCTCCAATCGATCTCGCGTATCTGTTCGATACCATGGCAGCCAGTCCGGCTCTGATAGGCCAACTGCTGGGATCCAAAAGAAACAGGTCAGCACGGGCAGAAAGAAGAGGAGTTCGGCCAACAACTCTCGCATATTCTGCTGCACGTTTTGCTGTGATAAATTCAAGAGCAAATATGACTGGGTGCGCCATGAGAAGTCCCTTCATCTGGACCTGGAGAACTGGTCGTGCGCGCCGTTCGGTGGTTCTGTCATCCTGCCATCCACAGGCCGCACCCATTGTGCCTATTGCAACCAGCTGGATCCCTCCCCCACTCACCTCGAGCAGCATAACCATGGAGTCTGTCAGCAACAAACGCGGACGTTCCGGCGAAAAGACCACCTGTTCCAGCATCTGCGCCTTGTCCACCGTCTTGAAACCATGCCACTCACCGACGGGTGGAAGAATGTGGCCACAAACTTCTCGTCCCGTTGTGGATTCTGCGATAGTCGAATGACCAGCTGGGACGATCGAGCTGACCATTTAACCATGCATTTCCGCCAGGGCTGTACCATGGCCCAGTAGAAAAGGCGACCATGAGTTCCCGCCGGAGATCGCCGCTCAAGTGAAACATAGCGTACCTCCATATCTGCTCGACTTTGAGTCCCGGACTTTCGTTCCCTTCACTGCCACCAACGGTGCTGTCAATGATCATCTTTCTCAGATGCTCTCCCGGGCCAGCTTCCGAAACGTACTGGGCGAGCCTGAGATGCCTCCGGACTCGGAAGCTCCGCGGCTGGAGTTGCCGCCAGCCCCCGAGCCTCAGTTGGATTGTTACACTGAAGTGCTTACTCGCCACCTGAGTCATTATGCGCGAGGGATGATGAGCAGTGGCGTGGTTCCCACGGACCAGATGTTCCAGTCAGAAGCGAGGCGTATGATGTTTGGTTCTGAAGACCAATGGGACCAAACACTGGCGGATGTTCCGGAATGACTGGCCAAGTTTCGCCGAGAGCAGGGCAACGATGGTTTTCTGTATGAATAGGGAATATCTTCCTTGGATCCGGTGATTATACCACAATTATCGTCAGTTGAACGATATGAAACTCCATCCAACTCCTTGCGTCAATGCAGAATTATGGTCTAATTCAATTACTCTCCTACCGCAAGGCCGCTGCTCTGCCTCAGTAGCGACCCATACCGAATAAAGGCAAATGGTATCCCTGCCAGGGCAAAAGCCAAAAACCCCAGGAGTGAGCTTGCCCAGTGGATGCCCAGGTGGTTATACATCGGGTTCGCGGCGAAAGGCAGGACCACCGCCATTATGGCCCTAGTTGCACTCGCGGCCGCCTGCGCAGATGCCGAGGCTTCCTTATAAGCATCCGTCAGGTAGTTCAACATGGCGGCGAAGACCAGATAATAGCCGAAACCAAAGAAGATCCCGGCCATCATGGGTAGAACTGGGTGGATTCTGCGATAGGAGCTCCAGCCGAGCCAGAAAAGCGCTATGACAACTCTGCGTTGGCCAGTCAAAGACAAGGTGAGCGGGGGAGGTGATCGGTTGAGGTTCATGCATATACGAAACAGCCCCGACACATGCAAGTGGCAGACGACGGTCGACCAAAGCCCAGGATTTGTTTGCTGCCATGGCTCTGGTATGAATCGAGGAGTAGACAAGCACAAGGCATAGGCCGAGAAGGGAACCGAAAATCACTATTGGCGGAGTCAAGAAAACCAAGTCATTGCGTATTCGAAGTGCTGCGCGCAGAGGGGTCAAGGGATACACATACTAGGGATAAATGCCAAACCATTATCACTAGTCGAAAGGCGATACAGCCCTGCCATTGTTGAGTGGCTTGGATCACAGAAGCAGGATTAGGGACTTGACGTACCTTGGAAGACCACAAGGTAAGCCTGGAAGAACAAGAAAAGTATCCCATACATGACAGCAAGGTACAGGGATGTGAAAGCAACAATGAGCTTTCTCACAAGCATGAGAAACGGCCGACTGAAGATCTTCCTGGCTGAAAAGGCTTGTGCTCCGTGAGGTTGACGGGTCTCCCCTTGAGAGCAGTCCTTCATCGCGTTCTTCTGAAGAATCACGGGGAGGTATGTCTCTGGCAGCAATAGGATAATTGGAACACCAGCCCCAGCAGCCATCAGCGCTACCCAGAATACCCAGCGCCACGAGAGGAGAACCGCAAACCCGGAGACCAAAGGTCCCGCCATCGGGCCAGCCATCGCCACGAACATAAATATGGCCATGGCGCGGTCGCGTCGTTCCGGATCTTCATAGATGTCACTGTACAGCCCGCTGAGACCGGCGTTGGGGACCGACGCGTTGAGCCCACAGAGAAACCGGAAGGCTAGCAGCGATTCAAACGTCGGTGATAGTGCACACGCTAGAGTGAACAGGGTGAACGCTAGATAGGTGGCGATGAGGACGGGCCGGCACCCGAGATATTCGCTCAGGGGCCCGAAGAACAACGGGCCGACCACGAAACCGACGAGGTACAGCGAATTCAGGAGCACGAGGCGGGCATCGCTTTCAGATACTTGAAATGCCTGTGCTATTGTCGGCGAGGCTCCCGAGGGAAGTGAAGCACCCAGAGAGCCATTGAAGGCGAAGATGGTGCCTGCTAGGACAATGTGAGTCTTTCGGAGCTGTGTAGATGGACATGTCAGGACGCGCATGAGGTTGAATACTGAGGGTGTTTGTGAAATCTTACTTCACTAAAGTCCCCAGCCCTCCTCACAGGCCACACTTGCCCTGATGGTATTTCGGCCTCTGCAATCTCAATTACCTGCGAGAGCATCACGGCGTCTGACAGTCTGACAAAGGGCTGCGATGATGCCTCAGCTGCTTTACCGTAGTTCTTGTAAGAGAAGTCCTTCTTCTACGGACAGCGCAAAATACCTGATTAGGATATAACTAGTACCTACCAGTAATTTATATGGATACTGCATAGCGTGTTTCACGCCCTACGGAAGATGAGTATAGTTTCAGTGATTCCGCCGGGAGTGGGCCAGTGGCAGTGAGTGTACTATAGTGTTCCACTCCAGACTGCCAGTATCTATCTAGTCAATACAATTGATTACTTTCCTGCCGCTTCTTTTCGAGGAAGTGGCCATTTAGATGCCGGGGCCGATGCCGCCTACTCCGTCCAACGTTTGTGATCCGCTACGCGTGCCCGCCCTAACGATTAAGGAGGTAATGCGAGTTGTCGGACGGGAGAGGATTGCTTACTGAGTGACTTCGAAGATTCGAAGAAGATGATTTGTGCTTTGCTACCCAGTGTACATACAGTAGGTACGTTTCATATGGAGGAAGTCTTGCTCTATGCCCTGAGTTGGTGTTGAATTCATGTAATAGTACGCATTCGCCGGCTAATATGGCTATGTGACCTACTCTCCCGTAAATAGAGAGTAATTGAACAGTAGATGTGTAATGTACTATCCTCCTAATGAAGAGACGGTAAGATCTCAGATTTCTTGCTGATAATCTCTGGAATCCTTGATGTTATTGACGAACTGGTGTTATTGCAAGTCCCGAGCGGAAGATTACCAAAACCCTTAGATTTTTTGGCTACTATACTTGGATATTATAAGAGTACTGAAGGAGAGGTACTTAAGTTAGAACCTGGACTTTTAGACAGTAATGTGCTGGTCAACGCTGTAAGCATAGTCCTATGACGTAGTGATAGTGACACGTGCAACGACGTGTCACCGCACCATCTGGCGTATGAGTATTTCACATTGAGTGCCAACAACCTGAAAGTAAATGAAAATGACGCCAGTGAGCGAAGCGACAGTTGGGAAAAATCCAGGGACCCTGCATTGAAAGGGACCTGCGTGGAGCCAAGCCATCCAATGAACCGGTCGGTGGCGGTGGAGCTCCCGATCCCCGATGCTGTGACGTCACCTGTCACTCTTTCCCATCCATGAGTTGATCGCCTTTAATTCTCCAGCTTGTCGCCCCTCGATCATTCCCCTTTTTCTGTCCATCTCAGGCCTTTAAGAATTTCCGGCTGAACGACTACTGGGTGCTTGGAACGATGAGGGTGTCGATCATTGCGTGTCAGGCTCTTGTGCAGGCCACTCTTCTCTCAATTGCCTCCGCTATCCCCGCTCCAACGGCTTTCCCCAGCACCAACAACAACAACAACAACAACAACAACATCGACAACAGTGCCGCTGCCGCCCCGCCAGACCCGGTCATCACCCCTTCACCCGTCGAGTACAACCCTTCTCCAGTCGAACCGGTCGCACGTCGGAATATCTTGAGTGATGTTGATTCGGACATCAACAGTGTCCTCTCAGGGCTTGGGTCGGACCTCCCCTCGTGGGTTGCGTCAGGGGTGCCCAACTTCTTCCAGGGGTTCCCCACGGGAGATGCTGTCGTGAGCTCTCTCGGCCTGAACAGTGCTCAATTGGCAGCACTTCCCACCAATGTCTTGAACATCGACCCCTACGCCAATTGGACCAGCTCCGGCTGGAACGTCCGCTTCCACGGGAACGTTTACAAGCAGCCAAATACCTCCGTCTCCGACCTGAACAAGCTGGCCAATGTCTTTCTCGGGAACACAAGTATTGAGGATCTGCCGGAGTCCCAGCAGGCCCAAGCACGCAATTTGACAGCCGAGATTCTGGTGGTTCAGCAGCCGCACGTTGCCGTGAACACCATCCACCTCGAGCCGGCACCGAGTCAGGGAGCCAGCGGAGAGCCCGGGGGCGGCGGCGCATCCAACGCCACCGGCGGTACGCAAGACTTGACTCTTCCTTACAACACCACCGTCGAGGGCGATTTCGATGTCTTCGTGCCGATTGACAGCAACGGCCTGACCGCGGGGAATGAAACCTCGGCAATCCAGAGACTCAACACTTACGTGAAGGGCGCATCGATCGGGAACAGTACCGCCTACCTGGTGCCACCCAAGGGTCTTACCATCGTGTCGGACATTGACGACATCCTCCGGGTCACCAAGATCTATGAACCGGAACAAGGCTTGCTCAACTCGTTCGCGCGTCCTTTCACGCCGTGGGAGAACATGCCCGACCTGTACCGTAACTGGTCCATTAACATCCCGGACATGCACTTCCACTACCTGGTAAGTTCGGTCTTTATTATCTGCACAGCTTGGATACTAATCGCCGCAGACTACCACCCCCGAGCAAGTGACCAGAAACTACATGCAGTTCATTTACACCCATTACCCTGGCGGCTCCTTCGACACACGTCCCCTTAATTTCAGCGACGTCTCGGCCACCCTTTCGATCCGCAAGTTCCTGCTGAAGAAGGTCTTCGAAACCTTCCCCGAGCGCAAGTTCATCCTGATCGCGGATACCAGCAACAGCGATGTCATGCGGGACTACCCCGAGATGGTGACCGATTTCCCCGGACAAGTTCAATGTATCTGGCTCCGCAACACCTCCGCCACCGACTCGGGCGATAAGTTCCCGTACGACACGTCCGGGTTCAAGAACCTGAACCAATCGCAGTACATGTTCTTCCTGCATCCGAACGACCTCACCAACCTGGATGTCGCGAATGGCCAATGCTACAACCAGTCCATTGCCCAGAACCTGACCTTCAGCTACCAGGGACTGCCCTTTGGGCTTGGGAATGACCCTACCTCGGTCAATGGGTCCGCGAACGGCACCGAAGAAAATGCAGCTAGCGGACTCTCGACGAGGGGGGCCGCTGGTGCGCAGAGCCTGCTGGCCTTGGTCGCGGCGATGTTCACAGCCACATTCATGTTCTTGTAGAGTCATGTCGATACGAATCATGTTATAATGTCCTGTACATTTCATACACCTCATATAATGAATTGGGATAGATTTTACTTCGAGTCTTTACTTACCTCCAGTCCCTGGAAAGAAAGAGTCGCATTCTTAAGGCGAGGTATCCGCGTCAGTTCCTGCTGTCCCTTCCGTTGCGCTGTTATAGCACCAGACAATACACCTGCATTGACATTGCTATTGTGCGTTGGCAGT